TGTTTAAATCACATTGTGAGCTAATGTTAGATTGTCATTGGTTAAATGCTGTCAAGGACTGATTTTAATAACACTCTAAAGGGAGAGATGTCAGTTCCCTAATGGAATGGGGCCATTCAAGCAGTATATTTGAAGACTGGTCAGCAAACTAGTGAGAGTGAAGTGTATGCATGGAGACAGGGAAGAAGATCAGAGGATCAACACTTTATCTGTCCAACTTAGATTGTTAGAAATGAGAGAAAAGAACAGTTTTTCACAAGAACAGTTTGTCCTGCTGGGCTTCTGTGATGCTTCAGTTTCAGGAACAAAAGCAACAAGGGAAAATTATTATTACAGTGCTGCACTGAAAATGAAATAAAGGGCATGAAATTTTCTTTTCTCTAAATACAAACCAGAAGTTGGTTAAATATATATATATATATATATATATATATATATGTCTGTATGTATATATGTATGTATGTATTTGTCTTTGTGTCTTCCAGTTCTATGCAATAGTAATCAGATAGGACTTGAAGCCATATACTACTCAGTCTGTATAATTACAGAGTATTTCTCTATCATCTGGAGGAGGTGAAGTTACACTTAGTGCAGGGCAGAACTCTCTGGTCTACAGTGGTACAGCCTCTGTCTTTTTACAGTTATGATCCATAGGTGCTTAAATCTTCTTTTAGGCTGGAAACCATTCTCTAGGAACTAAGTTATCCATGGTAGAAGATGAGATTGGTGTCGCATACCAGCAGCATGCTGCACTGAGAAAACTGTGTGATAGTTTTGAAAGGCTTCATGATTGCTTGAAAAGTGTGAAGCTGCCTTGTATTAATTCTCAGAAGGCAGTGTGAGAATGCTGAAGTGGGAGAATGTTTGATATTTATATTCAAGGAACTATTGGAAACTCTGCCTAAACCTAGTTTGTTTCTGAGCAATTAAACTGCTTATGTGTTTACCACAGGTACTAGTAGTGCATGTGCCCAGGCAACACCTTGTAACCATCTGTTACAAGAAGGGGGTTGTTTTGTGAATGGGATGGGAATGAGGGAAGTACCTCTATTTTAAATTGAGCTGTGATAACCAAGGATGCGTATACAGTTGTTGTCTGTTAAGAGTGACATAGCTCTTAAAAGAAAACAAACAAACAGACAACAACAACAAAACAAACAAGCAAAAACAAGTTAAAAAAAAAACAACACCAAACCAGAACACTGTCATGACAGAGCTTGATTAGCAATTCAGCCTTGGCCTAGGAACACACAACATTGCACATGTCCTGAAACCAAACAGTTGCATCTACTGGAAGAGGGGGTGAGCAGATAATGACCTTCTGGTGAGGTGTGTAGATTTACAAGGCCCCATAGTAAATTTGGAATATACACATACATCCTTTGGAAGCTGTCTTAGGCGTCCCAAGATTCTCTCCTCTACAACATACACAGTTTGATTCTTGATGGCTTTGACTGAACCTTTGTCACTTCAAAATATGGAGTTGATTACATGATTGTTCAGCCTTTATTAGTATCAACTGTGCATTGGTGTCAGATTCATTTCTTTGAAAATGGAAAGAAAAATACCCTGTGTGTCCACAGCGATCTCTTCAAGACCAAATAGTAAATTTACAATGGCTGAAAAGGCAATGTAGTGAATACACAGCAGGGTCGTGTTCCAGTTAAACTTCTGAGAGAGATGGATGTTCCTTTCAAACAATTTTATTGGTTAAAGGTAATTGCACAAAGTAGACCAGTCCTCACAGATTTTTAGGAGGTGATACTGTGACCCATAAAAGGAACATATTAGTCTTTATCTTTATTAGTCTTTACATGAAAGATTGCCCCTTTCTATTACAAGGTAGCATTTTTGTTCTGTTTGAAGACAGTGTTTTGCAAGGGTTGCTTGAAAGCAAGGGAACGGTGAATTTTTATTTTTAATTTAACTCGGGGCACATTGCATGTTCTTGGCAAAATGGTGAATGCTCCTTGGTGAATCCAGGTTCAAAAAAGGGGGGGAGAGTGTTTGTAAGAGCAGTAAATGGGGTATGCAGCATATCCAGTGATAGAGGTTTATCATGTTAATTTAACTGTTTCTGAAGGCTTTTCTATTTTAGTGATATTATCCTATTTGAGAAAATCCAAACAAGGTCTACTGCAAGCTTGAACTCCTTACACCTTTCTCTGAAGGAAAAGTTCAGTAATTCTCATGTTCCTAGAAGCTGTTTGCTTGGATTTCAGTCAGGGAAGGAGAATTGTGCTGTATCACAGTGATAGCGAAAGCTCTCAATGCTGTGCCAGGCATCAGTGCAGAAGTTGGCACATGGCTGTCAGAGCCAAAAGGAAATGGGTTAAGCATGGATTAAAACCAGTCTTAGGTACTGTCTACAGTACCTACAGTCTGTGGGTGTTTTGCGTAGCACTTTATAAACCCATTTGAAAATCGGTTGAGGTAGCCCACATTTGGTGCGCACCACTTCAGAGGCTGTCAGCCTGTGGGGCAGAGGGCGTCATTCATGTCTTCTGCCTTTGTGCACGGTAAGGACTCCAGGTTTTTTTTGTAAAGACTGAAAGCAGAAGTGTGATTGCTGACACAACTTCGGGAGTGACAGAGAACGCTCCCGTTTCTCCTTTTTCCCTCACCAGATGGACTATCAGGGAAGCAGTGAAAAAAAACGGTTACTTCTGTTTCTCATACTTCAAATTCCTTTGTGTACAGAGCAAAAAGAACATGGAAAGAGCTAGTGTGCCAAGCAGGAACAGAATTAAAGATTAGTAGGTGGCCACCCCGTGCCTTATCTTTAGTGAGTGAGGGAGAGTAGCATAGCTGATGATCGCATGTATTTACTGAGATTTCTTCTGTCCTGTCTGCATCTCCACATCTGCCCGTCTCTGTTCTATAAGAAATTCCCCATATTCAAGTCTGTCCTGCTCAGCATCCATTCAGTTCTCTCTTTTTTTTTTAATCAGGGTTTGCTGTCTTTATCTCTTCCTGGCCTTGTTGGGCAGAGTGATGTCAGAGTTTCCTCACACAGGGTGGATGGTGCCGATGAAAGGCTTGTAGGACTCATCTCTGCTCATTCCAGGGTAGGAGTTAGTCTTGAATCAGAACTGGCCTCATCTGCTGAACTTCTTTCCTCTGGCCCTTCACCCTGAAGGAATAGCTCAACTCCAAGGATGAGCTCTTTTCCCTGCTTGTGGGAAGATATTTGGTCATAAGTACATTCTCAAAGGAAAACTGGAATTCATATGAGAAGTGGAGAGCCACTCAGCCAGCTGCAGCCACAATGGCATGACTAGAGAATAGCACAGGCAATACTGCAGCAAGCAGGATGCTGCCAACTGTTACTTCATCTGCCTTGAGAGTTTGGGAGTAAAGAAACAGAGAAAGGAAAGCACAGCCAAAGGCGCTTAAATATCATTAGAGTTATGTAAATCAGGAACATTAAAAAGACAGAACTGAAGTGTTATTTCCCTCCTGAGGAGTTCTGAGGATAACTGAGGAGAGAGAGGGATGTCTTGAACAAAGATGAATTAAGTTTTTCTACAATGTGAGATTTTGTGAGGAGACAGGAAATAGCCTTTTATTAATGTCTCATTTTTCACAGTCAAACATAAACACACAGTATAATTCTTTAAGAACAATATTTTCAAAGAGTTCATACTTGACTTTAACATTTTACCTGTTCTGAGAGTTAGCACCTGAAACAAAAATAAATGCATTATGTGGATTTTGTTTGTTGTTATATATCAAGGATGATTAAAGTGGTTTACTTTCAACTGCATATTACTTAAATTATTGTTGAGCTGAAAATAAGTATTTCGGAACTCGGAATAACTAAAAAAGCAGGGCTATTAAGGACTGCAGATGATCATCTACTTCCCCAGTGCTGACCTTTCAAAGGTAGGATCCATTACACCATAGCTTTAAATATCGGGAAGGTATTCCCTACGGATGTGCTAGCAAGGATTTTATTCAGCAGGGTACCAGAGACTTGTGCGGCTGTACTGCAGTGGGCATACGTGGCTGGTGAGATGATCAGACTATTAGCTCAGCTCTTGTTCTTCATGGGCATTTCAGTGCGGTGAAGAAGGGATTGTGTTTAATAAACTGTATGCTTGAGGTGTCCCTGATCTTTTGCGTAGAGGTTCAAAACTAGGAGAAGTTGAATTGTGGTAGCATGCAGAAGACTATTCAGAAAAGCGTGATCAGATGACTGCAGCGTTCTCTGGTGTGTATGGCTAGGGACAGGCAGTAGTGTGTTACGAAGCCTAGGTCAGTGTTTCCTATGCTACAGATTTCAGCTCATGCCTATTCCCATTCATTATACAGACATTGGTTCTTAGAAGCAGCAAAATTGCTTCTGATAAATTCTTTGTGATTCTAGGCAAAGTATGATTGGGAACATCAATAATCGCATACAGGAAAAAGTTAACTCTCCCATCTGGTCATAGGATCTCTTCAACATAACACTCCGTGTCAGGGAGCAAGCTTTATTTGGGAGATATTCTTCCTTTAGTGGCTTGCCCTTAAACAAGCTGGGAAGGAGTGGACCCAGGGTCCCCCCTTCTGGTCATGTGGGAAGCACAGGTAAATTGCTTGCACCTGTGCTCCTTGAGCCAGCCACTCCACCAGGTGTTCAGTTATCATGAGCTTGGGCTGTGACCTAATAGTTCCCTTACAATGGGGAAAAAAAACTTACCTGGGTGTAAGGCACTATGGATGGAGATACTAACGTGTAGAAACGTGACTTCCTACACATAACCAGCCTACTGTAGGCAATGGTACTGCAAAGAGGGAGCTTTACTGTGATCAGAGCTCTTGGCAGTGAGCAGAGATACAGCAGATGAGGAGGCAGGAAGTTGACACAGGTGGTGGCGAGCAGTCAGTCAGCCAGGGACAGCGCTGACTTCTATGGAAAAGCTATGTATACAGAGGAGTCAGCATTTAGCAGAAGACAGAGAAGAGCCTGGGTCCAGCAAGTACATGGAAACATTTCTGCCTGCAAAATCCTACTACACAGAGATAACCAAGAAAGCTGACTGTGGCTGTAAGGTATTCTGTCTGGGATTACTTTGCTTTTCATAGACGTTTTACAGCCTGCTTGTGCACCTAAACCAACTAATGTAATGATCTTTCATGATCTGCTGCATTATGAACCCTAGTGCACAAAGCCTAGAGGCTGAGGCTGATGAAGGTTATGCCATTTGTTACAGATAGTAGCTCTGGCATAAGTTCCAGGCCAGCTCATGACTTTCAGTGGCAACATAAAACTCTTCACATCAAAATGAAAGGAGGGATTCAGAACCCATTCTTAATTTTAAAGACTTTAAAAACTTGTCCTATCGGTTGTGTTAACAACATATCTTATTACTAAGAATGTGCGATTATTTTTGTTTTTCTGCAGAGATCTTAGATTTAAAACATTTGGAAAGGGATGTGCTACAGAAGCTAGTTCAGAGCTGTGCTGCCAGCCTTGGACACGGGTTTCTACATGCAAAAAAAATCCTTAATATTGAGAATTTTTCTGACCAGTGAAATGACTTTCTGCTTTGTATCCCGTTGTGTACACACCACAGTGTCTTCTGAGAGCCTGCTGCTGAGGTATGAACAGCAGTAATATAAGACAGGTGAGGTACACTGTTATTAAGTGCATCAGAAATAGCCAGTCTGCAGTGCCCATCCACTCAAGGACTCCCTGCTTGAAAGCTTACATTTAAACCGTAAGTCTGCAACTGCAAACAGTTGTTCTAACTACTTCATGAGGTTGTATGAAATTCTCAGAGCTGTTACCAGTGGAACAAAGTTTGCAATAAGGAGGAATACATGACAACATTCTGAAAAACTGCTGTGTTTCAACTGTACAGTAAGATGCTACTTGATGATATTGCCACATGACTATTTTTCAGACAAATCTGAAAAGTGTCCCAAAACGTTAACAGTAAGAAACTGTATATGTACCTGCTAATTGGACCACTTCCCTGTAGAGGCTTTTGACTTCAGTCATAGGTGAAACTAAGTCATACGGTCATAAAACTGTTTTATTCATAGCTCTTAGGTGAGAGATATAGAAGTGTGAAGTATGCTGTCAGACATACAGGAGAAAAGATAAGCAATGGGATGCAGTTTTAAGAAACCTGAGAGCTGTACTGAAAAGATGCAAAATGATTCCCAGCTGAACAGAGCCTCACCTGAAGAGCTGCAGTCCTGCTGAGGTCAGCAGTAATGGGGAGTGTAGAGCCTTCGTCAAATAGGCAAGAAATGGGTGACCTTTCTGAGCCTGGACTCGACTATAAATAAAAGAACAGCTGCTGCTTTCAGAATCAAAGTATGATAAAAAGCAGGGATTTGCATCTTACAGGGAGTTTGGGACTCAGTGAGGCTCACAGACCGTAACACACAGTGGGAGAGAAATCCTGTGACCTAAATCAGTGGCAGCTGCTGTACAACAGGCTTAGTAATTTCCTCCACCTGTGGAAGGCAGCTGTTTGGGAACCATAGCAGTTCCTTGTGCTCTCTGGCACTGCAGGAGGGCCCACTGAGTTCTTGCAAGCACTGTAAATGGAGATTTTCCACTCTGAGAAGACAGTGTGGCTACTTCAAAACCAAGGAGGTGATAATGTACACTGTTCCCCCTTCACACTGCCTTGAGGTGCAAGGAAGAGGCAGCCAGTTGTTTGCCCTGTGCTTTAGAGGGAAGTATTATGCAGCTGTCTAGGTTAGAAAACTCTCTGAGCTGTTCGTGCTATTTTTCCGTGGTGCAGAAATTCCCTAGATCTTCACCAGGCAACATGTGACAGGATCTAGAAACAAATGCTGAGGCATAAACAACCAAATTTCTTATTCCCAGGTGATAGCCAACTGCCTTTCCACAGAGTTTTTGTAAAGTAATTATGCTGCTCCAGTAGGTTTTTACAGCCTCTTTGCAGATGTGTAAATGTTTACCTAGAATATAAAAACCATCGAAAATCAGAATGTACATCTCAATCTCCGCTGTTTTATGCAGCTTCATCTGGGAAAGGAGAGAATTGGTCACCATGCAGAGGTGCTATGGGCCATCCCTTGAACACACTCGCCTTGGCTGTATTCACATGAAATAAAACTGCTGCTAATTGCCTGCAAGTATGGGACTTCACCCTTGTGAGCAGTACTAAACCATGGAGATTTGGTTCCTAACATCTTAGCTTGCTTTCACATGTTTTACTGAAGTAGCTATGTTTTATGAGGCCTCAGAAACATTTGAGCCATTCTCCTGGTGCTTTAGGACCAAAACCAAATCCTGACTGTGATCTCAGTTTTATTCTGCTGTTTGGTGAGCTTTTAGAGTGCCTTTTACTGTTCTTTGAGTTTCTTTTATTTATCTTCTCCACAGCGCCCTGTGAGAACACTGACTTAATGGGACTGTTTTCATTGGAAAATGATGTTTTCAGCTCAAATTAGAATATGCATTTGCTCAAGGTAAATAGGAAACATCTCGCAGCCTGCTTAGAAATATTAGTTAGAAAGTAGAATAGCATAATGTAAAAGGAAGCTATTGAAGAAAACTTATGAAACAGAAGTAATATTTTTTTTAATTGCAAGAAACTCTCCTATATGGGGCTGGAAAGAGAAATCTAGAAATACTCTCAGAATGATATCAGAAATAGGAAGGAAAAAAAACAACAACAACCCGAAACCTGTATAACATAGCACATATCTTCTGAAGACAGCCATCTCACAGCTATATTGTTTGTCTAGAGTAGGGTGGGGGTGTGAGGAGTGTTAAACTCAGGCCACAGGTGTAAGGAATAAAACCTGTTCTCCCAGCAGGTGACCAACTATCCATAGAACAAATGAAAACAAGAACCTACCTTCTGTCTGACATGGATCTCATGCTGCCTACACATGCCTCTCTTGTTCAGCTCATTTGTGTTTCTCTGCCTTCGTTTCAAGTAATGGGTAAGCATGAGTGATGCTAGCATACTGAATTTAACACTTTGAAAGGACTGTTAATCTGTTCCAAGCAGATTACGTAGCAGCTGTAACTAAGCCGAGTGCTGGGCAGTGTTTGAGGTAAGATGTTTCTTTACTATTTCCATGTTTTTCAGATAGCTACTTTCTTCTGTGAGTGCCTTGAGGTAAGTACTCTGTCTCTCCTGAGACAACTGCATATTAGCGTACTGAAGTGGAAGGAGTGCTATTTCTGAATTCTTGTCTCTCTTTTAAGCACTAAAAATTTCCTAATGTATTGTGGCTGTTTTGCACAGCTGCTGTGATGCGTAAGCTTGTTTTAGATGTCTGTTTAGTGGCTGCTTGGAGTTACAGGATGGCACGCAGTCACTGAAATTTTATTTCTGAAAGACCTGGTGCGTGACTACCGGTGAATGGGCATTTGCTAGGTTGTGTTGCACTGTTCTGACCTTGAATTCTTAGGATTGTCTTCAAAGTCAGCTGTATCTGGCCTTAATGTAGAATCACAGAATGGCTTAGGTTGGAAGGGACCTTAAAAATCACGTAGTTCCAAGCCCCTGCCATGGGCAGGGCTGTCCCAGACCAGATCACAGAATCATAGGGGTTGGAAGGGACCTCCAGAGATCATCGAGTCCAATCCCCCTGCCAAAGCAGTTTCCCTACAGCAGGTCGCACAGGTAGGCATCCAGGCAGGTCTTGAACATCTCCAGAGAAGGAGACTCCACAACCCCCCTGGGCAGCCTGTTCCAGTTCTCCATCACCCTCACTGTGAAGAAGTTCTTGCGCACATTTGTGTGGACCTTTCTATGCTGCAGCTTGTGTCCGTTTCCCCTTGTCCTGTCTCCACGCTGCTGAAAACAGTCTGGCCTCACCACTCTGCACCCTACACCTTAGAGACTTATAGACCTGGATCAGGTCCCCTCTCAGTCTTCTTTTCTCAAGGCTGAACAGACCCAGTTCACTCAGCCTTTCCTCATAGGAGAGATGCTCCAGGCCCTTCACGTGGCCCTCCGATGGACTCTTTCCAAGAGATGCCTGTCTTTTTTGTACTGGGGAGCCCAGAACTGGACACAGTTGAGATGGACTCCAGGTGAGGCCCCACCAAGGCAGAACAGATCAGAGCTGCCCATGGCCTCATCCGTCCTGGCTTTGAGTGCCTGCAGTGATGGGGAATCCACAGTTTCTCTAGGCAACCTGTTCCAGCGAAGGAACAGCTTATATTTGATAGGAAGGAAGGTACATGTAGGAAGTTTTGAAAGAATCAGAAATCTTGCCTCTTTTTAGGCTCAGTTGAAGTTTGATACTGACTTTATTGGAGCCCGAGTGTGTACAACAAATGTACTGCTTAATTATTCCAAAAGGTAAGGCTCAGAGTTTCATGTCTGTTTTCTAATTGCTGTTCTTTCTTATTCCCCTGCCTCCTTTCTTTAATTTATTTCATTAATATAGTGGTTCTGTCAGTTCTTTTCCTTCTGCTTACGCCCAACACTAACTTCAGGCACAGGCAAAATTGAGCATGGCTGCCTGCTTGGCTTTATGTTAGGGCTGTAAATGGTTATAGTGACTGAGACTGCTGCTGAGACTTTTCAGGATATGTAGGGTGATAGCAATAGTTGGATGAATAAAACAAGATGATAAAAATCTTGTATTTTGCTCCTGTTTAATGTTTACCATAGCTCTTCATTCTGGTTTTGCCCTTCACACTCTGGTAGCAAAAGTAATTGGACCTCATTTTCCCCTCTGGTGTTAGTTAAATTGCTAAGAATACTCAAGACAGTTTTGTTTATAGGCTTTTCTACAGAAAAGGTGTAGGCTAATTTTATAGCAATTAAAGAAAAGCCCTTGTTCTTTTGACTTGTAAGCTAGATCCATCAGACATTCAGCTTTTTAGAGAACTATCTATTGATTTTGTCTGCCATCAACTGAGTAATACCAGTGGGAGTCCTCTCTGCAAAGTGTCTACAGATGTTTTTGGTAATGTCATGCTCTAGGATTTTTTAATTCTTCTCAGTCATATCACTGTTTATTTTTCTGTCTTTTCTTAACAGGGGCAAGTGGACAGAAGTCTTCAAGTGGTTTTTGTGTCTGCTTTTTGTTGTAGATATCCAGAAGATTGAGATTTTAAAGAAAAATGCTGTCCTTTGCTTTTATTAAATTCTAGGCTATCCATATAAAACAGGATTGTTTACACCAAACCTTCAGTTTGACTAATAGCATCTGGACCATGCTCTGGGTTTGTCTATATCTTGTTGAATGTATTTTGCCTTTGGTTATACATGTTTTAGTTGGTGCAATAGAAAAAAGGAACAAGTTTCTTTCAAGTTTGCTGGAAAAGATGACAGATATTTGTTTAAAGATTTAGAAAGGGTCAACAGGAAATCCATTTTTGTCTCCTGGTAAATTTATTGTGAGGCCATAGCACCAACTAATTGCGTTATTTGAAAACCATAGCTTGCAAAATCTACTCATACTTTTATAAGGGCTTCTATCTTCAAAACTTTGGTGTGTCTGGGAGGTGTAAAGCTCTGTAGCAACATTTATGCAAGTCTATTTTTTCCTCACAGCAAATAAGCTTGAATCAGCTACTGCTGTGCACTTAATGGCAATGCAATGGTTTTCACTTGCACAGTGCTAATTGGGCCTCTGAAATCAGTTGTGTTAGGAGTGGGGATACCCTAAATACAAGATGGGGATTGTGCGTGGGAAGTGACTCAACAGTATTCTAACAAGTAATTGGCATAAGCATCTGTTGACACTCTTTTTCTTTTTTTTTAAAGCTATGAAGTATCTCTTGCTTACAGGTGGCTTCTACTTTATGTGGCACTCAGTCTAGGCTGACGCTCTGAGCTAGTCAGTGTGTTTCCAAAGCCAGGCTTCTGCAAATGTGCTTATGCTGCAAAGCTGCTGTTAAATCCGTTGCAGCCGTCCTGGGCTAGTTTGCTAAGGATTTATTCAGCTTCTTACATAACGTTTGCAGTCCATGCTGTCACATGTGCATTGCTAGCACTGCCCAAATGAGCTAATTAAAATCTGTGCTGGGTTGCAGTGTAGAGTCTAAGTCTGACTCAACAGAAGAATTCTTACTTAGTATCTTAAAAACTCAGTCTACTGGAGTAGTGAGCTGCCTGTGGGATTAGGAGGTTGTCCATCTCCACGCTGTGGTTGTTGAGGGTGTTGGACCCTCAGTTTATCAGCCATTGGCAATTTAAAGTCAAACAAACAAAACCTTCTTGCAAATATTTACATCAGATATGTCATTTTCATCCATAATTATAAATATGCTGCTGTTTCTATTATTTCCCCAAGTTGTAGCCTGAGCTGTCATTTTCAGTGATCACACCTGCTGAAATCCAGTGTGCAATAAATTACCTTCTGATCAAGATGGGGTCATTTGCCAAATGTTGTAGGGGAGCAGCCTGTCAGAAACTTGAATGAGAAGAAATGTCAGAGCTGACTATCTATGCATTAATTGCTGTACCAACAATACGCTTACATCAGTAACTTTGCCTTTACAGGATCATCATAGTACTGCTTCCATGAACAGTAGAAAAGATTGGTGTGGCTGGATCACATCAGCCTACTCCCATGACCTGATAAAGGATTCCTCTGCCCTTCTATAATGGGTCTTCTGGAGCTTATCTAGCCTGTTATGAAAGAGGCCAAGAGATGGATAATTTTTGTACAGCTCTCAGAAGGTATTTCTACAACTGAATGCTATTCTTGCAATGTTTTCCTTGATGTTCATGTTGCATTCTAATTTCACTAATTTTTTTTTTTTTGTTTTTATTATAAATTATGACAACCTGTATGGGAAGTGCTGAGTCACGGCCTGAACCTCTGATTGATCACCTGAGGTGAGCCTTGAGTCAGCCAGAGGAGCACAGCTGAAGGCAATTCACCTGTGCTGCTGGAATGGGTGGAGCCTGGCTCCACCCCTCCTACACCTATTTAAGAGCTGGCTACCAGAGGGGAAGGATCTCTTCTGGAGATCCCCTCTTTTGGTGTCTTTTGGTGAGCTCAACTGAAGGGTAAGCTCTTCCACTTATTCTCTTTTTGTGATCGTTGTCTGCTTTGCCTTACTCTCTTGACTATATTGCAATTATAACATCTTGATATCTATTGATTATACACAATTATATTGTGATTATAACATCTTGGTTATACACAACCATTGACGTAAAAATATGTGCAGGATCAGTTCCATTTTTACTCTCATTCATACTATTTTAAAACGTAACTGATGCACTCAGTAGATTCGGATCCTTTTCTAAAATACAACACGTGCTATCAAATATAAACTATTGCACCAGGACCTACCATATTCCATTGTTACCACTAAAAGTATGCAGAAGTGAAAGAATTCTGATTTTTCTCTTAATGGGTGCCTAGATATGTGAATGTTTCAGACAGAAGCGAAGCCAGTGTGAGGAAATTGTTTGTATTTAAGTATGACACCATGTGGGGAAAGGAGCTGTGCCTAAGAGTAGGATGATGATGATGACTAGTATGGCTGTGCAGATATTTCTACTAAAATGGAGAACGGTGAGGGCATGTGAATAATTTAGCAGCATGCAAGAGTCAGTATCAGTACCATTCAGTACTGCCTCAGCAGTTAAACGGGGCCATATGATTTACAAAAGCACCAGTTTCTTTACCATATCCACAGGTAATCATTCAGCCCCAATGTTTTTATTTATTAGTACAGTAAGTAAAACAAAACTGCCACTGGGCATTCACAGAACTATTGAATGTTGAGCTAAAGGAGCCTCTGTCTTCTGCATATGCCTTTCAGATGTGTACACGTTACGCTCTGAAGTACAGCATCATCAATTTATGCGATGTAGTTGCTGTCAGTTCAGATCATCTTTTCAAATTGCTTACTGTAAACTTAATGGGACAAATGAGTGAATGCAGTCTGAGGAGATGGGGATTATGTATCATCAAAGCAACACATGAACTGTTTTGATGTTATTCTTTCTGGGCTTTGTGGTTTTTTTGTGGTTTTGTTTTTTTTTGCTTTCTGTTTGCTTGTTTTGGAGTGAACAGAAGTTTTAGTTGTATGTTGCTGTGAGATTCCACTGAATTTTCTGGACAAATCCTGCAATAAGTTCTATTTAATGCTTTCAGAAAATATCATTCAGATAACAGGAGTATAGGTGCTCCTTTCTTTTACCTTATCCTTTAATCATATTCAGCTGTCTTCTCAAATGCTCTTCCTTGCGTAGCTCTCCACAGGAACAAAGCAAATACAAATCTGTGTGCCACCACAGCAGAATTAGAAGTGTGCTCTTGTTTTTGCTTTCTCAGGTCATCTGTGTTCATTTGTATCTAGACAGCGTAATATTAATAGCTCTGTGCTAGATGGATGTCTGATACTTACTTAAAACCTTATTGCTTGCGTCAAGTGTTGGAAACCCTTAGGTTGCTCTGGTTGTTGGAGTCTGAAATATTTGAAACTAGAATTCCTGTATGATTACCATTAGGTGATAATTAATCTCCGAGTTCTGCAGTTTATGTTCATCAGTGCTTTTGAAACTATGTAACGGCTCCCTAGCTGGTGGCGTCTGCTCTGAGCTTTGTTATAACCAGAGAGAGCCACTGCCGTGTGGCAACACAGTCTGTGTGCTGCAAATTGCAAGACAAGCAGAGTGACTACTTGTGGCACCATTATAAACTACTCGTTCTTGGCTGTAATAAAATGCAAGTAGCAGCTCAAATACTTGATTAAAAATAAACCCTACAGTGCTAGGGACTTGCAGTTAAAGCTTGCTTTGTCCAGTGGGAGCAGTCAAATAGAGAACTAAATGTATTGTTTCCTATTTTTTTACTGCTATAGGATGCCTGTTTAAGAGGAATCTAGTATGGAAAACTGTAGTAGAACCCATTTTTGGCAACTTATGGTGTAAGTGCGCCTCTGTAATGCTACCTCAGGGGCAATAGCATATCTTGGGCTTGCACGCTTTTTTCTTGGCTTTTATGTAGATACCACTGAAAACTGGTTTCTGTTTAACCCTTAGCCTATTTTGAGTTCTACCCAAATACTTTTGTGGCTCTCCAGCATAGCTAACTCCTTTACTGGTGCCATTCCTTCATGAGTAATTTCTCTCTACTTGGTCATTCTTTCACTTTGTGTTTTTCTCCCCTGCTTCCCCCTTCTGTTTGCAAGGCTTTGTGAAGTCCTACCGAAACGGATGCTGAGATGCCTTACTTGCTTATCAGAAAAATCTGTAGTCCCAGCTCTTCTTCTCTGTGTGTCATTGATATGCACACAGTTGTTTTGCTTTGCATCTGGTTTCTGAGGCAGACGTTTAATCTCTCTTAAGTAAACAGCATCTACAAAAATGGAGAAGCTCAGCCTTAGCACTTTTAGGAATTGCTCTTTCAAATCCCTCTACGGAGAAGGGGGAGAAATCAGTAAGTTTACTCAAATGGAAAACACTGTACATAATCTTGCAGAATCCTATAAACCACTGATGCCAAGATGATTCTCTGGATATCACCTGTGCTCTGCAGTAAAGACAGGCCACAAGAGTGGCCAGATTAATTTCCAAGTAAATAATCCCAGAGTCAAGAAGTGGATGAATTTCTATCTTTTTTCACCTGAAGTTAATAATTTGCAGGCAGAAACAGTGAACTTGCTGAGTTGTAACAACATGCTGTATCACAAATACACAGCAACAGTCTGGTCAAAGACTGCTGTTGAGGTCATGTGGCCCAAACCTTGACAGGTATTTCCATAATGAAGAAGGGCTCTACAACCTTATTTGACCTGTAAGAGTGTATTCTTCTCAGTGTAATCCTTAACTGTATTTGCTGTAGCATTGTTCCCCTTAGAGTATTGCATTAGCCTATGCACACAGATATCTAATACAGGGATGGATTGGGAGTGTAATAAATGCTGGTTGCTATAGCAAACAAGCAGAGTATATATAGTAATAAGTTTGTTCAGAAACTGTTCTGGGCAACTACCAGGGCATTCAGCTGCAATCTCTGTGTCATACAAAGCCTTTCAGTTAGACCACGCTTTTCAGAGGTAATTCTGAGTGCATTTCAGGCATCAAGAAAATCACGAACCCGAGGGTCTGACTTGCAAAAGTACCAACTATGTAGAGATGTAT